TGAGAACATATGAATAAAATAACGGAAAAATTAGTCTTAATCACTGCAAACGACAATAATAATAATAATAATAATAATGATAATAATAATGATGATGATGATCGCAGATGGTTTTGTCTGGCCAGTGTCCACACATCTATCAAGGGACATTTCATAGTTGATTTAACCGTAAGACAAATTGATCATCTCTACGGGCAGACAAGATGGAGTGCTACGGGAAAATGTCCAAAATCATAATGGTCTTGTAGCACAAATCTCGCGAGATATGCTGCTACTGATGGAAAAGAATAATGATCGAAAGAGAAAGTTGTAAGGTCAGAAGAAAGATCGATTTGCAATATATTTTCGAGTTGCATTGGCAGAAAGAGGAAAATGCCCCGAGCTATAAAAAATAGGGTAAAAAAAGAAAAAAGAGGGACGATCACACACACACACACACGCACATATATATATATATATTTATGAGTCACGTTACTATAAGAATGATTAACGGTAAGTAGAGGAGATTTCTAACCAAACTTTAAAAAATAAGAGAAATTGTCTAGAAAGAAAAGATTATTTGTAACGAAGAAAAAAGAAAAAAAACAGTTACTAGGCGGACTAACGGAAATTGGAAATTTACTCGTCGTAATATTTTCCGTTTAACTTTCTTTTGCTAGACGACTTTAAAGGTAATGTCAGCAGGATTCATAATTCTTAGTCGCTAGCGTGAAAACTGATATATTATATCAATATCACTCTCTATCTTTCTCTCATCTATTCATATCTATTTATCCCTTTCTATTCATATCTATCTATCTATCTATCTATCTATCTATCTATCTATCTATTTCTCTCTCTCTCTCTCTCTCTCTATATATATATATATATATATATATATATATATATATTTATTCGAAAATTATAACATAAATATGTGATTTTATAACATATTTACGTTATAATTTTCAAATAAATAATATTTGCTCTACGCTGTATTGAGCACTCTTTTAAGAATAGAATTTTTTTTGTCATTGGAATTTATTCCATATACACCAATCCTATACATATGTATATATATATATATCCTTAGCAAATATATTATATCAATATCTCTCTATCTCTCTCACACACACACACACACACACTCTCTCTCTCTCTCTCTCTCTATATATATATATATATATATCAGTCTCTTCATTTCTCTCACTCTCGCTATCTCTTTTCTCTCTCTCTCTCTCTATATATATATATATATATATATCAGTCTTTTCCTTTCTATCTATCTTCTATTCATATCTATCTATCCCTTTCTATTCATATCTATCTACCTCTCTCTCACTATATATATATATATATATATATATATATATATATATATATATATATATATATATATATATATATATATATTTAACTATGTAATTAAGAAATTAGGCACAAGGATTTATAACATGTGAATATATATATATATATAGATACATATATAAAAAATAAATCGGTTAGTTAATGAAATATGGACAAACGAAATGTACCAATATAATCAGTACGATAAACATTTATTAAATATTAATTATTAGCCATATGACAGAAATGAAACACGGAAAGAAAGGTTTTAAGTTTTGGAGTTTTCGGACACTTCTGTGTCCTTCATCAATGGACCTAGGAACAAAAAAATGGGTGTTACTTATTACACACACACACACACACATATATATATATATATATATATATATATATATATATATATATATATATATATGTGTGTGTGTGTGTGTGTGTGTGTGTGTATGTGTGTGTGAGAGAGAGAGAGAGAGAGAGAGAGAGAATTTCGTAATTAAAAAACATAACTTCAGGAAGCTTTAGATATCAAACTCTTTTGGACTGAGTCTGAGATTCTACAAGAAATTCACCATCTTTAATTCACCACATGCTTCTAAAGAAAACTGAATAGAAATCTAAAGAGTGAGAGAATTAATGGCAGCGTTCAACAATACGCAACAATCCGCTGGTCGGAAATGCAGTCCCTCCTCTTCTTGATCGGAGTTCTTGACAGAGATGAGAAATGGGAACTAAAAAGTCATCATCTAAAACCAATCTCAATGCCAAAAGCAGGAGTTCATCTCCGGATAGTAGAATCTCGTAGAAATAACAGGCATCGTCTCGTCTGAGATTACTGGATCCTAGATAAACCGTTATAGCAGAACTTTATTTTCAACTGCTCGGGCGTAGAATGATTTCCTTAAAAACATTTCAAGAATAACAAGAATTCCTGTCTGCCTTGGTCAATACGATTTACTCTAAGAGAATGCGACAAACCGAAGAATTTAGTGAACGATTTGCATATTCCATCTACGATAACTGTTGCTGATACATGGATGTGTGCGCAGCGTAGTGGTTAAGTTAATATGGGAATGGCGAGCCAAGTTTGAATTCTGTTGAGATGTTTCTGTTCCCTATCACATAAATGCCTTTGAAAAAGGTAAGAATTTAGTTTTGAATTATATAGTAGAGTAGACTAAACTCTCCAGCTTTGTTTGGCAGCTAATCTAGGAGATAATTTACAGTGGGTCTAGCAGCTTCAACCCATAACATTAGTAAATGTTTTTAAATTTATGTTTATAAATTTATAAATAAAATAAATTGCTTTCATATTTATTTCTTTATAAATTGGTAAATGATAAATATTTCATTGCATTAGTTTTAATTGTATTACTTTTTTGAATGTTACAAATATAAAAATTATTCTTTTATGCAATCTAATAAACAGTGTGTACTAATTTTGATATCAATTCTTAAAAATAAAAAAAATGTATAAATTCATTTTCATCATGTTTGGGTTTATTACAATTATAATCATCACTTTTTAAAACAATAAATATAATAAGGTGTGAAGGTACTTAAAATAATAGCGGTGTCGCGGGAAAAGTCGTCATTCCGTTATTTTGCAAGCACGAGCGTCCAAGTTTACCGATATAATTAGACTTTTTACTCGAAAGTCCTGACTGCCTAGAAAATCTGCATTCTAAATCCTTATTGCTATCTAGAGTTGAACACCGGCCCCAATGTCCAGGTAGAAAAATACCTATACAGTGTAACCCGGATATAAGAGACCCGGATATAAGAGAAACCCGGATATAAGAGACCCGGATATAAGAGAAACCCGGATATAAGAGACCCGGATATAAGAGAAACCCGGATATAAGAGACCCGGATATAAGAGAGATTTTCTCTGGTCCCAAATTAGAGCCTGTGTCAAATGTATATAAAATAGACCAAACCCGGATATAAGTGAAACCCGGATATAAGAGACTTCTCCGGTCCCGACAACTCTCTTATATCCGGGTTACACTGTATATTTGAATCAGGTAGACGCCAACTAGTCTGAATGATTCAAGGATAAATGGTGACAATGACTCCTCCCTCCCATGTACGTGATTGTTAAGAAAATTCGGCAAATTCACCAAAAATGGAATGTGATATATTTATATGCATTCCGAAAACTAAGCTGAGTATTAAGAGACGGAAAAAATTCGTTGGAAAAAAAAGAAGATTACTGAACTGTTATGTTATATCTATCCTCCTGTATGACAGTGAATGATTGACAATCTCTTCAGAGATGAAAAGACTTGAAGCAACAGAAATGTGGTTCTACAGAAAGATGCTGAGGATACCATGGGCCGTACAGTGAGCAACGACGAGGTTTTGGAGAAAATGTAAACTTATACTTAACATGGGGAAAGGGTAGTTCAAATTTCTAGGGCACGTAATGAGGAAGGAGAGCTTGGAAAATCTGATACTCACAGGACAGATACAGGAATAGAAGGAAAGAGGAAAGCAGCGCGTAACATGGATGAAAGAAAAGGGTTTGGGACAAATAACAAAAATACAAAACTTATTAAACGCTACAAGGAACAGGAAGATGTAGTGCCATGATCGCCTACGTCTTGAAGGCACACGACGCATAAAAAAAAGAAGAAAATAATTAAACAAAGCCACAGAAAAACTGCGTTTTATAGTTTAACTCCTTACTTGATTGAAGTCCAAGCAGGAAAATGCATACAATTTTCCGTTGGAAATAAATATAAAGTAACAGATAACAGAATCGGTAATATGAAAGTTTGAACATTAAACGCCTTCAACCAAGATAAATTATTAATTTTTATTAATTTCGTGATTGTTATATTTATCTCTACGTTTTGGAGTTTTTCTATAATCTCAATTTTAAAACCTATTTTTTTTGGAGTTTGTCTATATTTCTGAGATGAGGCATTATGTACAGTATTTACATTAGTCGGACTATTGTCCTCATCTTTGTCGCCATATTTGTCACAACGTTTCGGCCGTTGTACGCTCCGGCCTTCTTCAGGTGGTTGGAATTTCGAACTGAACCCTTTATTTCGATCGCTGGGGATAAAGACTGTTTCTAATTCCACGTGACATGTTTGATGGATGTCAGTTAATCAGTTATCTCCTGCTAATTTTCCCTCTGAAAATTCTCCACTGCCTTAACCATAATTGACATCCATCTTCATGGCACGGGAATTGGGTCTGTCCCAGGATCGAAATAAAGGGTTCAGTCCAAATTCCAACCACCAAGAAGGTGGAGCGTAAACGGCCGAAACGTTGTGACAAATATGGCGACAAAGATGAGGACAATAGTCCGACTAATGTAAATACTGTCTATTTTTTTTTGTTTATCTGTGAAACGAATTGCGTTTAGTTTACACACAAAAACTAATAGATTAAAAATATCAACAAGAATTCTCTCCAGAGTTTCGAAAGATCTTATTAACTGAAAATTTCTTAATATTTCTCAATAATTTCTTTTAAGATGCATTTATTCTTGGCACATTTACTTGTGACGAGCTTTTGGGTAAAAAAGGAAAAAAATCCTGACACAGAAAGATTCTAAATAAACTGCATTCAGACAAAAATCCTTCAGTTATACTGCGTCTGTTAGTTGAGTTTAGTCACATTTAGAGTAAGGCCAGCAGCCGATTACGACTATATTGTCTAAGACGACCGCTAAATTTCGGCTTTCGCTATCTCCCACTAGTCCGACGTTTGATTCTCATATTTATACAAGTGTGGACGAGTCCACCTCGTCGATCAGGGTATAACACCTTCGTCAATGCAGGTTCTATTAAAGACCATAGACAAATAATATTCCTTTCGAAAAAAATATTGAAAACTACCCGCTCCATATTTTTTTTCACTGCTAACTCTATACTCATACACATTTAACGTTTTCCTCACATACACATTACTTGTAAAAATTATAGTTAATAAATTTTAAGTATTTTAAAATGGGAGGTTCATTTCAATCACCCGTTATATATATATATATATATATATATATATATATATATATATATATAAATATTATTTAAAAAAAATTAGGACATAAATATGTTATAAAATATTACAAAAATAGCCATTTTATTTCAACACCCCGGTTTCTTATCAAGTAATGATGTTGAATGTAAAATAAATTTTAAATAAAAATGGCTATTTTTGTAGTGATTTTATAACATACTTATGTTATAATTTTTTTTTATAAAATAAATATATATATATATATATATATATATATATATATATATATATATATATATATATATATATATATATATATATATATATATATATACTGTTCGACTGTCGTCGAATTTGACGCCTGAGAGTCAAGCACCTAAGTTCCTAGGAACCGACAGCCCGATACCAGCACAACAAGATTTGATTATAGTGGTGAAGTGTTATGCAGACATTTTCAAGGGCCGAATACAGAGAATTGGTGCACTACGTGCCGCAATGTCCTCAAACGTCCCTTTGAATTCACATGTGTCCTTCTCATAGACCAGTTGCCATCCAAGTCTATAGAACCCAGTCTGTCCTGCTATTTTACCCATAGCTGGAGGGAGAAGAATAGGATCTATACCTTTCCCGAGAGTATTAGCATGTAAAGTGAATGTAATGGATTCGACTGGAATTCGAACACGGCTCTCTGATTCCTCAATCCAAGCCGCTATCCATTATTCCACCGTGTGTACACACACACACACACATATATGTGTGTGTGCTCGTGTGTGTGTGTGTGTGTGTGCTACAGCCTATAAAACAATCTATAAATCAATACATAAAACGAGCATTCATAATTTGTTAGATTTCCATGCGTATATATAGATTGATTGAGTTGTATAAATATGTCGATATATATATATATATATATATATATATATATATATATATATATATATATATATATATATAGTTAAGTAATTCATCGAGTCTGAAAGAAAACTCAACAGAATGCAGAAAGCACTGGACGGCCGTTTCGTCCTATATTTCGGACTTATCAGCAGACTCGATGAATTACTTAATTATAATTATCAAATCCTCCTAATAATTTCTATCATATATATATATATATATATATATATATATATATATATATATATATTTACATGTAGCTACATTCCTTATTTGCAAGTGGAGATTTTATTTAAACTTTATACCAAACATATTTTTTTAATTCCGCTCACAGATTTGAAATATAATAGCTATTAGCCTTTATACTGCAAAATTGTTGCTCTTTATATTAAAAACTTCCCGATGAAATTGTATTTTCTCTAAAATGCAGTAAAAGGCACAAATAATTTTGGTTGTGGCAGTGGTTTTCAACCAATTTTTTTACCACTTTTAACCTTAATGTCTTTTTGTCAACTCCCATAATCATTCGACGAAAAAAAAAAGCTTATTGCCTTTGTTGCTAACAGATTTAGAAATTGTATTATAGAAATAGTAAATATATATGCCTCCTTTATAAATAATCCGTATACAATTTATATATTAAATTAATTTTATTATTAATATTTTTTAAAAATATTTAGAACTAATTCATTTATATGAATATATTAATATTTTATTTCATTAATATTTAAAATTAATATTATTAATTATTATTAATATATTATATTTAATTTAATGTTTATATAATGTCATTATATATATAATCCTTCTTTTACATATTCTCAGTTTTTATTCAACTTTTAAAATCAAAACATCCGGTAGAGTAAAAGGGACGCTATAACTTACATCATTTGATCTCGTTTTCTGATAGTTTTAGAAACGTTTTTTTTCTATTTTAATATGACGTAGATGACTGTAGAAATTGCAATTCCCAGTTGTAATAACCATTCCGAAGTGAAATTCCGAAGTGAAATTGCTCTATGGACCACTAAAATATTACATCCAATTTACTATGTTTTGTGTGGGCCCCTAGTAATGTAACAGTTAAACATTAAAAGTTTTTTTTATTTCAATAATCTACTTGATTTGTGACATATTACGATGATATTTGTATAACTTTTTTAAATTAATCTATATGTAACAGCAAAAAAAAAAAAAAAAAAAAAAAATTGAGGAAATTACAAAATTTCGACTACTGCAAGCAGACTTCATCAGTGTTTGATATTGAATCGTGATTTTTGAAAGGGACTTAATTTAAAATCCAGCGGATGTTAATGATCTCAACTGCGAGAATCACGAATCCTTTAGTCTGTACAGCCATATTTAAAATTTTTCTTGTCTCTTCCCGATTGTTTTCCAGCATGGCTCTGTCCCTCACTCCAATTTGAAATCGACAACTATAAGTGAGAAGGTGCGCGACAGAAAACTCACTGTTTGTCTTTTTTAGTGTGTCAGTAACAATGTATGCAAGAGGAAGTGGACTGAATAATAATAATAATAATAATAATAATAATAATAATGATGATGATGATGTAGACAAATCCCTTTATTCATCAGTGGTTACGTAGAATTAAAACCTGAAACGGACGGTTTTATTCTTTCTTCACGAACCCAATTCTTGCTGATTAGAAATTACCAAGCACACGTACTGAAAAATTGTGTTAACCCGAAATGCAAATGTTGTGATTAATATCCAGAAATAATTGAGCATCTTGTCTCAGGCTGCACAATGTGCACCCACCTGCTGAATTTAAAACTCGGCATTGATAGAATTGACAAATATCTACACAGAAAAATATTCTACTTTTACGGGAAGGAAACTGCAAGAAATTGTTGTGGACATCACCCAGACTCGGTTACAGAGATAGGGTCTGTAAGAATTTAATGGGACTTTACAATAAACACAGACAGAACAAACAAATTCAATCGTCCAGATATCGTGATCAGAGTTCATAAAACAGAATGGGATTTCTTATTGACATGACAGTCTCTTCAGATTGTAATACATCTTTGAAGATATGCGAAAAACTATTAAAATACGACGATCTTGACTGGGTACATAAGAACATCAATGATTTCAGTTGTAGTTGGAGCCCTCGGATTGATTGGAAAAGGTTCCGATAGACTCATTGAAGGGATTCCTGGTAGCCAATGCCTTAAAGAAATACAAAACATTGAACTCATCGGTACAGCTCAGACATTAAGAAGAGCTTTATCCAGGTAAAATGTGTGTGATCTTAGTCGGATCAGTGGAAAATATGAAACCATTTCTGTCCTTAGCTTTCTGGTGGTGGCCCAGAAAGAAATATGTATACAACATAAATCAAAGGAAATAATAATAATAATAATAATAATAATAATAAGAAGAAGACGAAACGGTATG